TGATTGAAACTTTAAGGGATACTCCGGACTGGAACAGTATTCCGTATCCCTACTCTTTGCGGCCTGTTTCAGGGAAACGGAAGCTTAGGCCATCATTCCAGGTTAATTTTTATCCGGAAATTATACTGTTTTCCGTTCAAATCTCCTGGTTGGTGGTTGACTCCTTACTGCATTATTTTTACCACCTCGGTTTCACTATGTAGGAGAATCATGAATGTTCAACTTAAGATAAGTGTCGGCTTTCAAAGCAATACTGCAGTGCAGGGTTTACTGGTCATTGTCAAACTCACGATGCATATAAAACAGGAAAGAGTATGCTGTTATCTCGGAGCGAGATTGGAGGGCTTGAGAATACCTCAAAATAGTGAACAAAGTAATTATCTATAGTTTTCAAACATGTCTCCAAATGAGGTTGTTTACTGTGATGCAATTTCATCACAAAGTGACTGCATCTTGACGTGTTGTAATGATTTGTGCACTTCTTATCAAGATTTTATTAGGCTTCAAAGGTCATAGTCTAGTCGCCTGGTCCTCCAAGTTGGAGGTTTGACTTGAATTCGTGTCCCAGCCCACAAAAAAATGATTCACGAATGATCAATTCATAGAAATGGTCCTTTACTCCGTCTTACAGGTCCGTCTTGCGGTCAGACTCTTGTCAGTAAAAATAACTTTCATTGAGACCCCTAATCGTTCTCCTGCTTGGTGGCTGGACACAACGTGGCGCTCCAATTCAAGTGGTTCGATAACTCAAATGGCGGCAAGATACTGCCGCTGACGTAGCTCCGTTCAGAACTGCAGTTTATTTCGGGTCAGTGCTTTGAGTCTGACCGCGCAATAATTTGAAACGCTTCCCGCTCCAGTCCACTGATCGTTGACAAAACCAGTAAAGTTGGCTAGCACATCGTTATCTGTCGTATCCATCCGTCCGTGGCCGCAATGTATCAGGAAAAAGGCATGAGCTAAGCGCGCTGCAGTATGTTAGCGTAAATGAACAATGGGATCAGAGTAGACGAGCAATGCTTTACACAACGCATTTTGCTGGCGGATCTAAACCTCAAGCCCGTCCAAGCATTGACTATCTTAAATAGAACACAATGCAGCGAACAAGGCTTGATTTTATTGATTCGTCTTTGGGTATTACGTCACAACTTACGTACCTCAGATAAAATGCGTCAGGGCAGAGATATTGCTTACAAAAAATAATAATAGTAAATGAATAAACTTAAAGGGATATAGATGATTTCTACTATTTCCGGTGTTTAGTCCGGATTTGCCGGAGGGTGGGAGAGGCGGGTTAAAACGGGGTGAGTCGAGAGCCATGGGAGACATAATGACTTCACAAATTGTTTGCGCACACGGGAGTGGATTGTGAATGCGAATTACCACTGCTTCCGCTGTGGCCAGGATGCGATGTTTAATCCACTTAGATTGTTGTTCACAAACCAGGTAGAGGAGACGAAACGCTTTGGTCAAGTCAACTAAATGACCTGACTTGACAAGATGTGAACAGATAGCGCTCGTAATTGATGTTTTCACCCCGGTGTGCAACACAATGGGATGATGTTTACGAACTCTCCGAATCAAGCGCCTGCTCGTGCTACCGATAGGCGTTGTTCCACAGGGACAAGTGAAAGAGTAAACGCAAGATAAGATTGCGGGAACAGGAGCTTTATCTTTGAGCTGCAGTCTAAGGGCCGGTCTGGATGCGAACGTGACACGCAACTTCGCTGCACGAAACGATTAACTGATCGCAGTTGTCAACGTTCTAGTGACTATCTCCGTCATGATGTCACCTGTAAATGGCAGTTCTATGTAAACTGGCTTGTCTTCTACCTCAACAGTTTTCACCTCGTTTATCTGGCGTTTTTATACTCCCTACGAATCGATCCGGATACCCATTTTGTTGTGAGACCTGGCGCAGGAATTCTAATTCATTCTGAACCGTATCAGCCCAGCGGATTTTATGCGGCCTGTTGGCGAGACACAAAATTAAGTTTCGCTTTCTTTTGATTGGTGCGAAACTTTGAAAATGAATGTACTGGTCGAACCACGTGCTTCTTCTATGCACCGAGTATTGGATAGACCTCTCTGTGGCGTTTGAGGCAAAAATCAAGAAATGTGATCTGGTTGCCAGTTGTCTCCTCTAGAGTAAACTTAATATTTTGATGCGCGCGGTTGAATGTTGCCAGTAGCTCTCTGGGATGATTATTATCGTCTGTGAAACAATATGTCGTCGACATCTTTTGTATAGCCTGCAGTTTTCAATGGAACCTGTGAGTTCGTTGTTTTCTGGAAATGTTATGAAGACATCAGCAAACAATGAGCCTAGTAAGTGGTCTAACGGAATCACTGAATATTTCACGAGTCAGTACCCTTAATGGTGAAAAGACGACCAATCCGACCTGCCAATGTCAAAACAATGGTAGATGATGTCTGCACCGTCAGCTCACGAAGAGCCTCAATAAGGACCGTGAAAAACTGGTGGGTAATGGAGGCTAGTGGAACGGAAGTAACCGTTACAACCGACATTCGGTGCTTACAAATGCTTAGGTGCGTAGTTTCTGAAGAACAAGTCACTCAGCAGCACCAATTGCGGAGAACCTAAGAAAAACATCACGGTTATTTAAAAACATACTGGAGGATAAGCTACTTGGACCAAATAGTATTGCTGAAGTCCGACTGCAACCTATGGTTTTACCTGATTGTAAAATCTCTGTTTTCTTGATGTTCTTTCTTCAATTTTCCACTAGGTACTTACAAAAGTGCGACAAGGAATGGTTTGGGATCCTTTTTACAAACGTATGGTACTCCCGCGCAACAAGGCCGCTTGGCAGCATGATTACGAACGACGTTTGCGATTAGAGGCGGAAAAACCGAAGGAGCCGCTTTCTGATGAGATGGATCCTGATCCGAAAGTAGCTGTTCCTGTCAAATGGCAACTGGACTGATGTGATCAACCCTTAAGCTGTGTGTAAATAACGTACCTAAAATATAGAACTTTTTGTTTAACGTCACGAGTTCTTTTTGAGTTTTTGATAAGTTTCATGGTGGAAAAATTCGGTTTTAACTGATGATCAGATGTTGCTTTATTTTCACATGTAATTGCATAGTTCCACACAGCTCACACAACCACCGCACCTTCATGCCATCGTTTTGGTTTCACTTGCAGATCTTAACGTATGTCAAACACATAGGGTAAAATAGCATACTGTTTTCTATTTTATTTATAGCCAGCTGAATCACTTTACTTTGTGACTTGGGTCCGTAATGTATTTGGACCATTGTATGTCCTAAGTTTGTTTCTTCATGTAGCTTCTTTTGCATGTTCTCATCACTGAAGTGGAAGTGAAAGAGACCAGACCTTATCAACCCAAGTCAATCTAGTCATCTCTATTCTAGACCACAATAATTCGACCGATGGTTTGTGATTACACAAAAACATGCACTCATCGTTTGAAAAGCTGTCAAACATGTCTTCCCGCGCTGGATGTGCAATCTCTCATGCGAATAGCGTTGATAAAAACAGCTAAGGTTCCGTAAAAGAAATATTGCACATTCAGCTTTATTTGTAACCAAACGGCGCAAAAGACCCCTAAAACAGCTTGTTGGAACTTTCGGTGACCAATCTTCATATTCCTGACCCGAGTGGCATAAAATGAGCTCTATAGTGTGCAAAAGTTTATTCCGAACGGTGGCGCTATTTTCTTATGTACCTATATTCCGGTGTTCTGCACGAAATGTCATATGAAGGAACTGTTTCCTTCCAAGAAAAAAGAAATTACCACTGTTTGTTCATTATATATATATATATATATCAATATGAAGATCAAGAAGGAGAAATTTTATCTTCAGGAAATAATGTTCACGAGAAAACAGCCAATGGGGTTATCGCGAGGTCGTCTATTTTTTTCCTTTACCGCCCCGTTTTCCTCGAGCCATTTTCCGTGTCTTATACGAACGCCAGTAGGCTTGTATCGTGGTTACCGATTGTTCCAGTGCTCTCCGTTGTTCCTCTTCTCGTTGTTTGCGTTCCTCTTCCAGGCGTCGCTCCTCCATGATCCGCATATATTCCTCCTCCAGAGTCTGATCAGGATTGCATCAGACGGAGGGAGAGGATGAAGGAGAATAGTTTTAGGTACATAAGTGCTGCTGAAGTTAATGTGTGCTAATGACTACGTGTTTAACTGCATACTTTTATTGAAATGTTCGAAGGCAGTTCAAGAACTCAGCCTGTATCTGTTGATGGAATACAACTAATCTGTTTCTTGTTGTCGTCAAAGCCAACGCACTTTTCTGGTTGATTTTGAGGACACCTACCCCGAAGCTAGATATGCACAGAAAATAAACGTTTGGAGAAATTTATCCAAGTGTCACAGAGGTTGATATCTCAAAATTGTAGCTTTTCGTTTTCAGGCCAGTTTATTTGCAGTGTGAATGTCTATCTTGTCATTAATAGCAGGGTACCAAACAATCGCAATTGTTGCAAACAGTCGGAAAAATGAGGTTTATTGTTTACCTGGAACCGCTCTTCTAGTTCATTCAGTTCTTCCTTTTCCCGAGTGTATTCCTCATCCAGTGTATCGTACTCTTCCTGGGAGAAAATTATGAATAAAGAAATCAGAAACGTGGGTATGTACAAGGTTTCCATCATTATTTCTCTGCATCTGTACACGCAGTCAGGATGATTCTTATAGTCTGTGCAATAACCAACGCTAGACGAAGATAAATAATAAAGTCCAGTTGAATGAAGTGGCAGGATAAAAAATGTGGCCATACATCAGTAATATGAGTGGTACAAAGACTAAGCTTCGTGCCCTACCCCCAGATGGATTCTCAAGTGGTAAACGTAATTAAAAATATGTCCACTGACTTGGTTAGAGTTTATACACACTTGAATTAGTCTTTGACTGCTTTTTTCGTGAGCGGTTTATGCAGCCGAAACATTTGAAAACAAGTTGCGTTTTGTTTCTAACATCAACGTAAAGTCCGTCTGGTTCGATCTATCGAAATTACTCGTGTCAAGTCTCTTCGTCTCCGGGGTTTGACCCGTATAATGAGTCACCGGCATTGTAATATAAACGACGATCTCAAGAATCGTGTTGTATGGTTTTCGTTTCTAGGTGAGCGTTATTTCCCGGATTTCTGACTCTGTACAGCCACCCAGAAATCAGTTGAAGTGCATCGCGACTTAAAACATATTTGGCTATCATATCAAGTTGTGTTTTAGAATAACAATGGGAGCTTAGCTGCAAATGCGGGCATTTTCAATTGCCAGTTAATCTTTATTCTCCACGGTTGATTTTCTTAGTACCGTTGCTGACCACTTCGGATATACTCCTTGTTGAACAAGCTGTGAGAAATTTCCCAGAAGAGCAGATACAGGGGATGTCGTTGAGAAGACAACATTTGCCTCCAAGCCTAATTTCAAATATCTATCGTTCTTCTTACTTGGTTTGTTTTGCCAAATGTGGGTAATCTATGTTGAAAATGGTTGTTACAATACAACTGTCATGTACGGAAAACATGTTTCTCTCAATTTGTTGCGAATTGTTTTCCGAAAGCCTCAGCATGGGTGGGTGTGGGTGTCTCGGGTTGTTGCTGATCACCCCTCCCTGGCACCTCGCGAAATGCTCCTATACGACCAAGCGTCTCAAATAGCTTCTGCCGAGGAAGCCCTATTCACTGCCTTCTCGTTGTGAAGATGTTTTCTCACCAAACTGAGAGGTCGAAGAACCGAAATTTGGGGCTGTAACTGGGTTGGTGAGTCGCTGACCGTTCACTTAGGGGAGTTTGCTGAAAACCATGATTCTAAACCGATCAACAAGAAGCGTATAAACCAAATACCCACACCTTCCTGGTATAGGTCACCGGCTAGATTGGGTATAGAGGTTTACTGGTTAGTGGTGGCGCAATGGTTTAGTCGCTGTCACCGGCGTGCTTTGGACCCTATGGTCCGAGGTTCTAGCCCCGCCACCCAACTTTGGTGGTAGGCAGCTTTATGGTTCAATACCACGCTTAACTTATCGGGGCCTTATGTGGTTCACTACTCCAAGTCCTGGGGTTTATGTTGCCGGTTTTCACCACTAAGCAGCAGGTCCCCGTGACTATGGGGTTTGCTCCCGTCTGCTGTTCATCACACTTAGGTGTGTAATAAAAAAACTTGGACGTTTGATCCCATCCAATGGGCGTATGATTCGATGAACTGAACACCGGCGCCCAATGGATTGCAGTTCTCATGCACTGCCCGGCTGCCTTGCGATTCAGGCTTTGGTTAACCGAAGGCTGCGATTGTGAATTCCATAAGAAAATTCACCTACTTTGGCCTGAGCAACCTAGCATTATGGCGCCCACTAACAAATCACGTACCTCTTTTCTTTTTATAAAGTTTACTGTACCGCGATTTGTTTTACACACAGTTTGAACTCAGACTTGTGTAAAAGTAAGTAGTATAAAGGGGTTATAATAATAAAGGCATTGTTCTCACAATCGTTTCGTGTCCGATCATTGATTTGGTCAATTGAATTCATTTACTCTAGCTCCTCAGTAATTCTCTGAATTTTCAAATTTGAATTACTGGAATGAAGTAAATCAGCGCACAGGGCTGCATTAGCCACCAAGCAACATAATAGGTCGTCCAGGTAGACCAGTGTTTATTGATTACTTTCGAAANTCGAAAACAAACCACCCACGCGCTGGAGTTAAATTCACTTCATTCTTAACCGCACAGCAGGACAATGCATGATTTATGTTGTTGATTCGTCTTTCATAGTCTTGGTCAAATATTGGTTGGTGGTGCTCTTCTTGATCTTTGTACTGCTTCCGTTGGGTAGGCTTGATCGATCGTTCTGTGATTGGATTACTCCGGTCGCGTCCTTGTAGTCAAATGCAGATCGCATACCCCACTGTAGCTATCACTTTGTTGCGGGTTGCTTTGATTATTTCCTCGGACGAAATGTCCGTCCGCTACGCTTGTTCACCTCGTTGGGAAGAGTGCTTTCTTCCGATTCGTTGTTTCTGTCCGCGGTTCGTCACCTTCTACCGCAATCTTAGGAAAACTATACCCCCTCTTTTAGGATCTGGTTGCTCAAATTGATTGAATGTTTCGAGGGTTTTATATGTATACACCTGATAAATCTATTAATTGCAATTATACGTGTTAGCGATTGAGCCAAACTTGAACCATGCTCAAAATCCCACGTACATAATTCCTTTCCATGCATGATTCAATTCCATAGGCCAATTTTACAAAAATAACACGATTGATCTTACTTTTAACGCCGTCATTTCCTGATCGTACGCAGAAATTTTCGCTTCCAGTTCCGTTTCGATTTTGAACAAATTAGCTCGTTCCTTTTTCTCTCCTTTCCTATTCTCTTCCACTTGTTTGTTGTATGCTTCTCTGAGTTCGTTCACCTTTTTCTCCAAATCGGCATACTCGTCTAAAACCATCGGCATGGTTTCCATGTGAACTCATTCAGAAATAAGAACATTACATGGTTGGAAGTAGAAAACGAATCGATAAGCAGACCGTAAAAAAGAACACAAACTCAACCTTACTTCACAGGGTCATGCGGGATTGCTGCAAGAAGGGAACAATTTCACATCTCATTGATAAAATGATAATATTATACGATTCATGGCTTGTGATTGGAATATTTGTATTTAATGCAGCAGCAAATATACTGCTGTCTTTAATTAGTGAAGGACCCACCGGTCGTTGGTTGCTCGTTTGAATAGTTTTGTCTTAGGAAGCGTTTGAGTGATATTTTGATATGACTAAATTACAGAAAGAAGTATTAACCTCAGTGGGATTACAAACCACGCGCTTGTATGATATACACTCTACCAGGTGAACCACACCCGCGTTCAATCGGCGTCATCCTCTGGTCTGCATTTGACAAAATATACTCATAAGTTTCAGTTTGAACAGCCGTTAATCATGCACTTTCGTGCTGCGGTTTTGGCTGTCTGTTTGCATGAAGGAAGGTTGGAATACTGTGAGTATCGAAAATAGAGGATTCATATGGGCTAAGTTTTCTCAAGCTAATGCGCAGATACTCGAGTGACTGTTCACGAAACAGCCTTATCACTCAGTGTTCCTAAGCATCGTTCACGCTAGGAACAGGGCTCTCGTGTGAGCATTACTTTCGATTTAGTACCCATTTATCAATTAACACGCATTATTTAGACGTTACTTTCTACCTAGTTCTTTATCTCATTTATGCATAGAAATGTATTTATCAGGAGAAAAATATGTCAAAAGAAAGCTTCAGCAAATATACCTATTTATTTCATTATAAGACAACCAAGCTCGTCTTCAGTGCTTCCATAACCAACCGAATCAGGTATACTCTCCCATTAAAAAAACCTTGAAGATGTATTTGGCACTGAAGCGACTACAAATCAATGTACTTATGAAACTTACTTTTATATTTCTCTTCGATCATCTGCAGTTTTTCGTTTTCGTCTTTTTTGATTCGTTGTCCACGATCGAGCAAATAGTTTCCTAGATTTTGAATTTCCTGTTGCAAAGCCAACACCTTCTGAGCGGTGGATTGAACCTGGTGCAAACAAATTCACGTGTTCGTTTTCAATGTCGTCTAATATACTTGTATCAGACGGTTGAAAAGGCTATTGCACCTTGCTCTTCTCCAAACACACGTCATAGTTCCCATAAGTTAAAATACAAGTCGAGAATCTTTCTGATTACCTCTGAAGTGCCTGATCTATATGGAAAACCAGGAAGATTCTCGGCGATTTCAACATAAACACTTTCTTTCGGGTTGACAACACTTAATACCGCCATTTCATGAAAGTCAAAGATCTGGTCGATTTGCAAGATCAAAGTAACTACATTTACAAAATCAGTTGTAAAGCAGGCCCCACGGAATACATTGGGCAGACCAGTAGACAACTTAAGACGAGAATAACCGAACATGAGAGAAGAAAATCTCCGGCCTATGGACAAATCAACTCTGGTCAAGCTAGAACGAGACTCAGCGATCGCTCTTCACGCCATAGCCGAAGGTCACACAGACTAAGATAACCCAAAAATACTCCAACTCGGATTTCGAACATGCACTGAACGCCCATATGCTGAAGCTTTGGCCTTTACCACCCTCTCTACATGCGTCAACAGAGACGAAGGAATCGAGATCTCGAGCATTTGAACTACCCTAACACCACTAACGGGTAATCGCGGCAAAGGTTACAGTGCCACTTGACCCCATCTGATAGTGGGAGTTAGTATGACAGACAACGAGTCATTCAGCCCACCACACGAATTCACACACGACGAAACATTCGCTGGCTTGTGATCTTTTCCTCTGAGTCATTTGACTGTAAAACTTGCCTTGAGAAACGTAATCCACGGTAACCTAAAGGTCGGCGAATACAATTTTCTACCGACATCGCTGTGTTATTGACATTATAACATTCACAATAATAGTAATGATAATGGACCCTATGGTCCGAGGTTCGAACCCTGCCACCGCCACCCAACTTGAGTGGTAGGCAGCTCTGCTGTCGTCCGGTTAGATACTATGCCTAGCTTAGTGGGACTTTATATGGTTCGTCAGTCCAAGACCTGGGGTTTAGGTTGCCTGTTTCTAACACAGAATACCAGGTCTACACGACTATATAGTTCACCCAGTCTGCTGCTCATAACAAGAAATGTTTTTAATCAAATAATAGATTGATTGTAATCAACCTTCCATATTTGTGATCGAACTGCGGTTACTTTACACATGCAGTCCCAGATCATAAAACTGCTTTAGTAATAAATAAAATACATTGTCACATTACTTGTGCTTTATTCTTGGCAACAATGGCATCCAGTTCTTTGTTTAAACCGTCCACCTTAATTTGGTGTTCGTTCAGTCGATTGGAGATCTCCTTCACATATTTCTTTTGTCGTTTCCTGTCTTCCGGAGTGGTTAACATATTACTGAACACGGTGCCACGGAGCTCAAGGAAGTATCTCAATAAATGGCTCTGTGGTCGGGATAGGTTTTCCGATAGGTAAGCTTGTGAACAAGCTTCTTGAAAATTGGATACAGATAAAGGTAGTTTGAGGTCTGGTAATGTGGAGCTGCTACGTGGTTTCACTGTCAAACAAGTGTCTGGGATTTGATCAAAATACGGCGTGCTTTTCATCACTCGTAATAGCTGGCGAACGGTCAGAGTGATATTTTCTTTCACCTGAAAACAATAAAAGCCAGAAAGTACTGACTCCATTTGGTGATGCGAAACGGACAGAAATTCATTAGATCATATCCAATTTTGTGAACAAAAATTAATCAAACTTAAAAACCTGTCACGTCATGTTTTCTTCAGTAAACTGTTCGAAAATTGAGAATTGTACTCGGCCAATAATGAAACACTATAGGTGTGATTCGAATTCAGAACCGTTCGCAGTTGATGATCTCGTACATGACAAGTTCAGATAATATCTACAATATGTCTACGGTATGACGATGCCATTATTATTACTGCTAATATTGACGAAGTTAAAATAAAAAATAAGTGTAATGGCACCAAAGGTGATTACCTATTTAGATTATCCGTCGCATTTTCGAAAATGCTCTGCTGTGTATATTCATTGTGATCGTAAATTCCAAGCGTGTTTTCCATGCATCGGCTTCTATACAAACTCAATCAGATGTAAAATGAGCTAATATTCTTAGGTTATCATATTACCTGTATATTTGTTCGTGATCAAGCAGTGTTAGATGAAGTGAGTAATCAAGATGTAAGTACGAATTAATGAGAAATCCCATGAGTGAATTTGGTCGTATTGGTCACTAAATCTCATTGATGATATCTTCCACCCGCCTACCCACTCGATGTGCTTTTCATTTTCTTCGGTTTGTACTCTGCTCTTCTTCAATCTGAGGCTTTTTATTTTGTTAGTTGGGAAAGCAGCCAGTCTCAGATAAATCTACGCTATCTATTTGAATCAAATAGATGCTTTTTTTAGTTCATCGAACGTTTTTGAAATGGATAATTTAAGCGTCGGAAGTATGTTTAATCTTTTCGTCAACCGATCTGCATAGAATGGCATTTAGTAAACCTGGCTGATTCAAGTTTTTTACTATGCAACAGTCCATGTATTTGAAAGAAAAAAAGCTGTGATGACTGATAAAAAAGCTATGCAGTCTTTTCGTTCACTTCAGCAACTGGGAATCATTTTCAATTGCGAGAAAAAAACATTTGACTTATCAAGTTATTGACTAGGTGCTATAATCACGCTCCTTTTTTAACCTTTCAAATTAGGGAATTCTGATAACTGACACGTTTGTTTTGGATTCCGGTCTTTCAGACACATGCCAGGAGGATTATAACAACCAGCAATGGTTATCTATCTGTTCAATCTTGGACTCACTTCATTTACTTCCTGCACTGTGAGGTTGACGCTGGGATCGCTGTTCTCCGCATTCTCCATTTTGGAAGACTGACTTTTTGTATCTTTATTGTTGTTCTCAACTACTTCTTCATGTGGTTCATTGGGGTTGCCTGGAATGGGTGAATCACGAAGATAATTTGTCTTTTTGATACTTAGAACCTAATTTATCTGCATGCCTATATTATTGTCCATCCATAAGTAATTCATTTCATTCTTTCATAAAAGATAGACGCACCATGCGATAATAGTTTTTAATGTATGCAGTCATTGACTGTTCACTTTCTTGCGGTGCTTTTGCTTACTGTCGTTTCCAATCGTGAATTTCAGCTGATATGACTGAAGCTTCGATCCACTCCGTTCCATCATTTACTTTGGTTTTCTGTATCGTTCACTCAATAGTCGTGATTGCTCCATCTTCGATTCTTTCATTTTTAACCTTGTGCACTTTTTTCCTACGAACCCAATCTACGGTGTGATCATCCGGAGAGATTTCACCTTCCATAAACAGGAATGGTTTTTACATTCTTCTGACACTTTGTCTTTGTGGCACGAAGCTGGTCAACAAGCCACGAAAACCGACACACAGAAGTGCACGGTTAATGGTTGTTCGAATTGAACTGAACTGAATTCCGTGCAACTCAATTTCAGTTTGCACAACCGTTAATCATGCACTTTCGTGCGCCGGTTTTAGTGTTTATCTTCTGGCTGTCGATTTGAATAAAACAGTAAGAAAAAACAGGAAAGTTTAAATCATATTAAAAGAGAAAACGGGGAATGAGAGTTCAATAACTTTGTAAGGAAATTGAGATGTACGAACGCCATCGTTTGCGATACTCACTCATGTCACTCAGTCTCTCCAACCACTGATTAATATGATCCCGAGGTCCCCATTCGGGGAGCCAACGCGACTTGTATGACCGGGTCTCCTGGTGGGGATTTTCATACCGCCGTGCCAGGTCTTATTTTGATCACACTGGCTTTTTTCTCACACTAGCTGCCTCGACAACCACATTCCACAAACTCTGTTTCTCTCCTTGGATTGTCCGTAATATCTTTACTATTCTGGATCCCTTATGCATCTTACCAGACACTTCTTCACCCAAACTCACCCGCCCCATACTGATCTGTCTTAAGTCGATTTAGTTGCAATTGTATGAAACAAAACTCATGCAAGAACTGTGTTTTGATCTGCCACTCTCTTGAGCATTGTGTACATCTTACCTTCAGATGGAGTACTCAGTGAGCTTTTTCGTTCAGGTTTATTTCCGTTGGAATATCTTGCAGAAATCTTGAGATAATCGGATATGATCTTTTTAAGGTCTTGGTTCAGTTTTTCATTTTCCTATACAAATACGCATAATAAACTTCCTCGTTTAGACGACTTACAAAGATGGAACACTTTGTGTTTCGGAGAGCCAAAATTACCAAAATTTTCTTCATAGCACCATCCAGAACGCCAAGCATCCTTTGCGCGTCAACGGAAAGCACCGTGCGACTGAGCGTTTTCAGTTCGTTCGCATCGGTGAACTTTTGACACGGTATGCCAACTGTCAACATATTGGAATCGTTGTTCTCCGGCAGATCGTTTCTCTGTGTGAACATGTGGCCTGAGAGGTCCAAGTGGTAAAACAAAACAGTGATAATTTATGATTCCGGTGAAAAATTCAGTCATCGCTATTTCTGCTTAAGGAAACAAAAATTGTTCAGGGAAATCGAAAGTGGCATCCAAATTTCTAGACAATCTGAATGGATCATACGCTCAACCTCTTCATACACATACGGGCAATGCATCGACAACCCATACAATGGAGTTCAATCCAGATGTGTAAACGATAAATGTGTTTAAACGTTCATTAATAATAATCATACAAGTTCATTTTACAGCTCCGATATTTTACCATACAATCTATCGTTCATATTACACATCTAACCTCAAAAAGCAGTGTTGTTTTGAGGCCTTTTCATCCTAATGAACATGTATCGTTGATCTTGTGTGCTCCATTGATCACTGAATTCAGTGCCTAAATCATATAATTTATCTACTGTTGAACTCAGTGCAAAGACACTGAGGCCCGACAGATCCGGAACCATCTGCCATAGCCTCCAACCCGTGAACTCTTTTAAGACATCGTGTTGCATCATGAAGTCTCAAACCACTTGGATAATAAAACAGCTACGACATTGCTGAAATGTTTTAGGACGGTGTTTAGATGCGGTGCAACAAATGTACATCACCGAGTGCTCTCATAAAGTGAAATGCATCTGATGTAGTGGGTTGAGGTCCCTGTGGACGTCCATGAAACTTTATCCGTTTCCAGTCTTTGTAGGATTCACTTTTGAAAAGACCAGCTATGTTCTGTTCTAGGCTGGCATCATTTTTCCTTTGTTCCCAACATTTCTTTTTCCAGCTTATTTGACCGGTAGACCTTTGTCGAGTGCATCTAACCTAAGTACTTTTATTGCGTGCTGTCTCAAGTATGCCTCGAGATACAAACAGATATAGTGTGTATCGCAAAATACGGACTTATCTTTGGAGGTCGTATTCAGCATTAAATCCAGTAGTACACGAATAATTTGGCTTATCTTATTTTGCAATGATTATCGTTGTTCTAGTTTCAAATATTGACCTTTTTCAAACGCTAGTGTTTCATACAAATTGTAATTTTTGGGAAAACACAGCGATGTCGGTACAGGTGAAATAAGCCGACATCGTATCGATTACGAAAACACGAAAATTCTTCAACGAGGTTTTTGAACGAACACCGAGCGCCTATACGCCGAGGCTTTGGCAATTAGTGCCCATCCTGGGTGTGTAAACAGAAACGACGGGGCAGGGGTTTCGAGCGTTAACATCACTTGCCAGCACTCGTCCCAACGCTGATTTGACCTCAGATAACCCCGTTCCCACAGACAAACATTGCACAAACGGATGTGCCCAACCTCCGATCCGGATCAGTGATGTACACACAGGCACGGACACAGAGGTATATGCAAACGCACACACACACGCAGTACGTGAGAGGCTAGTTGGCAGAACTGTTCCTGACTCATTCGATTGTAAAAAATCGCCTTGATAAAGGTTACCCGCGTCAACCGAAACGTCGGCTTATTTCACCTGTACCGACCGCTGTGTTTTCCCAAAAATTACAATTTGTATAAAACAAATCATGTGGCGCATCGTTTTTTCGATACACTCCGAACGTTGTTCGGGTTTGACACGTTGGCTAGTGTTTCAGTTCGCGTTAAAAAGCGGAGTTATTTCGTTTAGTTTAGGCGTAAGCCTAATCGCTTAGTGAATGATTGACAGGAAGGGGGGGGGTGAATTAGAAATTAGCCCATTGTCTATAAATTGAAATCCTAAATAGCATGAGAAGCGTGTAATTATATACATCTTGAGTGGATCATTAGAAACATTTTTTGGAACAGTTCAACAGCGAAACCTAAAAACTTCGAACTTGCGTTTTTATCTCTCAAAATTTCGCATCATTAGTTTGCGTGCCATAAGCAGAAGGTGGACGATTTATTTTTATGTTCGGTTCCACTATAAAATTCTAGTTCTCGTAACCTCCGTCCGCTTTCATGAGAAATAGCTCCCCCGGTTTTATCCACGGAGGAACCCTGTATAACTAGAAACTGTCAATTGCATATGAGCTCTCAGAGGCCACCGGCAACCATGCACTACTTTCTTGTTGCGTTAAGGGTATGCAAAGGCTAACATCTTCACCCCTACCTAAATGCGGGTGACGCTGGGGTCGTTTCCCGTACTTAACTCCCCAAATTTTTTATGGATAACCATCTAAAATGTCTTACTAATCATTCTACGGCGTTGCTGGGAAGCAACGCGTCCCATGCTCCTCCGGTGGTCTGGGTGACAAGGATGCACACTGGTACCTGGAACTTCGACAAAGAACTTATATTGGATGGTGGAACGTTAGAACACTCCTATATGCTTGCAGTCTGGAGCTAGCGATACGCTCGCTTTATGACCATCACCTGGACACCACGTATATCTGAATTTATACTATCGGGCTGCAGTTCCAAAAGTATCCAAATCCCTGGTGTTGATAGGCAATACAGACTGTATCACAGCGGCAATGAAACCTCAAGGCAAGTAGTGGCACTTGCTTAAAGTCATCGGGCTCATAACGCTTTACCTTCCTGAAAATTAGTATTCTTTACGGTTACACAGCGCGACTCAAGGGTTATCCAATAAATCTTACAATGGCCTTCGTGCATCTTTTTCAATTTCTTTGCAACATTAGTCCAATGAAATTCTCCATTGCCTGTCTGGCTTTACTTTCAACTCTCCTGTCCTTCTCCTACTGTTCATGCGAATGGCTAGCCAAAAGACAGCAACCAAAACCGGCGCACGAAAGTGCATGGTTAATGGTTGTACGAAATTAACTTACAGTAATCGCCGTCTATGTTCCGGCTCTCTAATTTGACAACAATCCCAAGGATGAGTTCTATGATAGCCTTCAATCGCTTGGTAACGAACTACCCAAATGGGATGTACTTGCAATAGCCGGGGACTGGAAAGCTCAAACTTGACCACAAGAAGTGGCCGCAAAGCACATCTTAGGAACACTTGGTCTGGGTCAACTTTGCAAGAATGGTGACAGACTAGTCAGCTTTCTCGATTTTAAGCGTCTGTTTATCGCCATAACGCAATTTCAACATCCAAAAAGGCATCTACTAACGTTGTAATCCAACGATAGACGAACAGCACATCCTTTCACCATGAGTTTCTTCGGTAGAGGGCTGTAGATCTTGCGGGGTCTACATGCAGTAACAAAAGCGGATTTGGTCACGCGATCGCTCGAGCAAAATTCAGACTACCTCTAAAACTCACAAAAAGACCGTTGTCTCAAAACGCCTGAATGTTTCCATTGGAGAGCAGTGAGAAACGCTGAGCAATGAGGGGCATGATAACTGCATCGTTATCGAATGATCTCCCCGGTGCACCAGAAAGCACGGAGAGTTCAGTTCAAACAACGAATCAAACTGAAGTCTTCGATGTAGCAAGCTACCCTAAACAAACTAGGCACTGGGTCACGTCACCTAAAGGACTGTATATCTTACCACACCATCCACTTAATTAATGCGGTCAGACGAGCACGCTTAGTTCAGTCTTCCGCGTGTCGCGAACACAGACGGCAAGTAACATGATCTGACAGAATTGATGGATGCCACTACGGGCAACAAAATGAAGA